TTTTTTGCGGTATGCAGGCCTCTCACTGTTGTGGCCTCTCCCGTCGTTGCGGAGCACAGGCTCTGGACGCGCAGGCTCAGCGGCCATAGCTCACGGGCCCAGCCGCTCCGCGGCATGTGGGATCTTCCCGGACCGGGGCACGAACCCGTGTCCCCTGCATCGGCAGGCAGACTCTCAACCACTGCGCCACCAGGGAAGCCCTCCAGTCACTTCTTAACCACCTTCACTGCCGCTGCCCTGGCCTAAGCCAGCCTCCCTCATATTTTGTCTGGGTTAATGTGGTCATCTCATCCTCAGCCTCCTTCATTCAGCCCATCCCAGCAACCACAGGGACTGTGAGAACTTAGGCGAAATGGTGTTAATCATCTTGGCTTAAAACCGTGCAGTGACTCCCTCATTCACTTAAAGCAAATGCCAAAGCCCCCATGGTGGCCGAGAGGCCCTCACTTCTGGGTCTCCACCATTTCCTTTACCTCATGTCCTTGGTCTCCCCCCTCCAGTCTTATTAATCTCCTTGCCGAGTATGCTCGCGCGTTTGGGCCTTTTCACTTACACGTCCCTCTGCTGGGGATAGCCTCTGGCTTGCTCTCTCATTTCCTTCAGGTTTTGCTCAAGTCTTTATTTTTGAGGCCTGTGGCAGTGTTTTCTGACACCAAATAGTTGTTTTCCCACACCTATTTTCCGATTCTGATACTGTCTACCCGAGTTATTGTCAGATTGTCCCCACATCAGACACCAGTCACAAGTCCCAGGGGCATGTGTACTCCTGACTGGCCAGCTATAAATTCAGGGGTTCCCACAGTCTCTTAGGTTTGCTAATTCCCTAGAATCACTCACAGAATGCAGGGAATTGCTTTGTTTAGTCTACTGGTTTATAACAATGGACATAACTCAGAAAGAGACAAATGGGAGAGATGATGGGGCAGGTCTTGGGGGGAGGGGCAGCACAGAGCTTCTGGGTCCTATTTTGACGTGCCACCTCCTCGGCATATCAATGTGTACCCCAACCCCTGTCATTTAGGGTTTTTTTGGAGATTTCATTACGTAAGCATGACTGATACATCGACCATATCTGATTGAACTTCATCTCCTGCCACCCCTCCCCTCCCCTCCCCACAGGGACAGAAGATGTTGAAAGTTCTAATCCTTTAATCCCAGGGTTGGTTTTCTGATGACCAGCCCCCATCCTGAAGCCACCTAGTCCCCCAAGGCAACCCCAATGAGTCATCTCATTAACATACCAAAGACAGCAAGTTCCAAGGATTTTAGGAGCTCTAGGAGCTCCCTGGAGACAAAGACCAAATATTTATTTTTTATTATATACACCTGTCCTGATCCTCCTTATGTAAAATAACAACTCTCCCCATGCCTCCAATACCTTATTCTTACGCCTTATCCTCTTTTCCTCCACAGCACTGGTCACCATCTGATATACTGTGTATTTTCTCATTTGTGTGTTTATTCTCTCTCTGTCCATTAGAACATCTCCTTGAGGATGTTCCTTGATGCTCCTTAAGGGCAGGGAACATGTGTACCTTGTTCCCTGTTGGGTAATGTCGCGCAGAGCTGAGACTGGCCTGGTGGATGCCTAGTAAATGATGAGGGCAGGCTTAGCTTTAGTCCTGGCAGGTGGCGAGCCAAGTGTTAGGCTGCCAAGCCAGAAAGAGGAAGAGAATTTCCTGGGGTACCAACATCTGGCTAGAAGTTGTAGCTTTCCCCAACCATTTGGTTCATTTTGTTTGGAGAAGAGACTGGCAGGGGTCTGCCTGGGGGTAAAAGGTGAGTGTCGCTGAGGCTCTGTGTGTGCTGGTCCCATATAATACGGATTCTCTGTATTGCACAGGGTCTTCTCTGGCCCACTGCTCCCTCCCATTTTTTTTTTTTTTTTTGCGGTACTCTGGCCTCTCACTGCCGTGGTCTCTCCCGCTGTGGAGCACAGGCTCCGGACACGCAGGCTCAGCAGCCATGGCTCACAGGCCCAGCTGCTCCGCGGCATGTGGGATCCTCGTGGGCCAGGGCACGAACCCGTGTCCCCTGCATCGGCAGGCGGACTCTCAACCACTGTGCCACCAGGGCAGCCCTCCCTCCCATTTTTGCCCCAGTGACTGACTGATCCCAGAGCCCCTCTGGTTTTCTGTGTCCCTGAGGCTTTCTTCTGTCTGTCAGCCTGCTGCTTTTTGCTTTCTGTGTTCCAGAAATGTGCTCACAGTTCTCATATTTCCCTCTCTTCCCTCTATGGTATTTCTTCTCCGTCTGTATGTTTATTCTAGTGGGCCAAAACAGCTGAAATGTCTCTCAGTACATATAATCCCACATACATACTTGTAGAGTGAGAACAACACAGCTGAGTGATGATCTCTGTAAAGATGCTTGAGAAAATGGTAGAAATGAGAATAGAATTTGTGTTTATGGTGATACATGCCAGTCACCGGAAAATCTTTTCATGCTAAATGCCTCATTACCTTGCCAACAGGAATAAATGAAGACTGTATTTTTCATTTATTTAGCTTATTGAAGACTTTATTTGATTTTTTCCCCTCCTATCAGGGATTTGCGACAGTTCTTGCCGAAGCAGTTAGCTTCCTTGATCTGCCTGTGGCAGTTATTAATCTGAAGGAATATGACCCAGATGATCATCTAGTAGAAGAGGTTGGTAATTGTCTTATTTTTCCTTCAATCACAACTTTCAAATTTAATTGACCTCCTGTGTTCTGGGATAAACAGACTCTTCAGAATAAATTTAATTTTCGCGCTAAAGGATTCCAGTCGGTAGACCGTTCAGTGTCAGTCAGGGGTGCTGAGTGTGTGGTGGCGTGCTGACTCGGGCGTGAGTGATGCGGGGCCAGCCCCTCTGGGGTGTTAGACTGAAAGCTTCAGTGGTTGGAAGTTCCCTCCTGCTTTGACTGTCGTAATCAAAGAGGGTTGTCACCGATGGCCGTGTGCCGGGCATGTGAACCGCGTGTAAGTCTGCCGAAAGGTCCGGAGCCACTTGGGTGTCAGAAGCAGTATGGGTTTTGGAGTTAGAGAAATCTCTTTAACTGGCTGTGTGACCTCCAGGTGTAACGTCATATCTGTGAGAGCTTCATTTCTTCACCTGAGGAATGCCCCGCCCCCTCCTCTAGCCATGCCCAGGTAGGGAAGTTGGCCTGACAGCAGCGGTTCTCCAAGCGTGGTCCTTGAACCGACAGTATCTGCATTTCATGGGAACTCGTTAGAAATGCAGATGCTCAGGTCCTAGCCCAGCCCCGCGGAATCAAAGTCTGGATGTGGGGCTGTGTTTTAACAAGTGCCCCAGGTGATTCTGAAGCAGCTAAAGTTGGAGAAGCAGGTGGAACAGGCATTGACAAGCCTTTTCTATAAAGGGCCAGGTGGTAAATATCTTCAGCTTTGTGGGCCACGCAGCTACTGAGTTCTGCCTTTGAGGCACAAAACAGCCAGAGACAGTATGTAAATGAGTGAGTGTGGCTGTGTTCCAATAAAATTTTATTTACAAAAACAGGCAGTGAGTGGGACTGGGCCTGCGGGCTGTAGTTTGCCAGTCCCTTCTTAGTGGATAAACCTCTAGCTGTAAATGTGCATTTCTTTCTCCCCCAAGAAAACGTTGGAGTACAAATGAGTGAGCTTGAATCTGCTCTAAATTATTTGTTAAAAATTATTAGCAAAAAAAAAAAATTATTAGCAAGCTTGGATACTTAATTATTCGTAAGGGATTACTTATAACTTACCTCCTGACTTGGAACTGTGAAGATGCACTCGAGCAGATGAAATACTCTGGCTCACAGAACTGAAGATGTGTTTTGTTTCCCGTGGAGATGATGGTGCCAAGTGTTAAGTCACTTTACATTTAACGTTTTATGGCTTTGATTTTTCAGGGCATTTTTTAGAGATCTTTCTATATTTCTTACTGACTGATTTGGCTTTTGTTTCCAATATGACAAGCAGGAGCTGATAGGAATTTATAGTCTGGGAAATGGGACGGAGTACATGGTGAAGGGCACCAGGGGGTGTGGTGGGCTTTCTCCCCTGTGCAGGGTCCTGGCCCTATTTGCTTTCTCTTTTGAAAATAAGTAACATTTCTAAAAGCACTCTTTGTCTTTAGAGTTTAGTGTGATATGAATGTCAGCATTTCAAAAAGGATTTTCTTCATTGAGATAACTTTATATCTTGGCTACTCTTCTGAAATAATGACTTTGTTGGTTAGGTTACCAGTAAAAATGTCTCTGCCTTCCTGGTTGCTACCTACACTGACGGTCGGCCGACTGAGAGCGCAGAGTGGTTCTGCAGGTGGCTAGGGGAAGCAGCCAATGACTTTCGATTTGGCAAAACATACCTGAAGGGTGTGAGATACGCAGTGTTTGGCCTGGGAAATTCTGCATATGTGAGCCACTTCAACACGGTAGGTACAAGGTAGGTACGTGTTGAATTGTAGGGATACATTCTCTTAAGTGAAAAAAAAAAATCACCTACACAGGTACATATATGTGGGTGTATGTGAGACAACTTACTAATAAACTTTTTGTGTTATTCTTTTTATTGCTGGGAATTGCTACCATATAGGAGGCTCTCAGTAAATGTTTATTGAATAAAATGAATGAAAATGCTTCCTGTTGTCTAGCATCTTAGCGGCTTGTATTCATGGCCAGAGTCTAGCCTCCTGCCCCCAGGCAGGACCTTGTAGGTGGAAGGTCCCTGATTCTTTGGACTTTCTCAACAACCTGTTCTGTTGTGGAATGACCTTTACTGCCCAAACTAATTCTTCACACAGTTAACTTGTTGTCTTTTAATCATTACTTTTCTTTTTTTAAAAAAAATTTTATTTATTTATTAGTTGTTTGTGCTGGGTCTTAGTTGTGGCAGGTGGGCTCCTTAGTTGTGGCTCATGGGTTCCTTAGTTGTGGCAGGTGGGCTCCTTAGTTGCGGCATGCATGTGGGATCTCATTCCTGGACCAGGGATTGAACCCGGACCCCCTACATTGGGAGCACGGAGCCTTAACCACTGTGCCACCAGGGAAGTCCCTAATCATTACTTTTTT